ATGTAGTTTCTTTATTTTATTTTATTTTTTTTCTTTTTTAGGTAGTGTAGTAATTTTCCCTTGTTTTTTTTTTTACCACGGTTCTTTTCCAAGGGCTTTCCTTGAACCGGGTTAGGTAGATTTTTCGTTTGTAGTTTTAAGACCAAAATGGGTGAAGGCTAGAATGCAACCCTTGATGTACACACCTGAGAATAACAAAAACGAACATGAGGGTGCGACGTCTAGGCTCGTTTGTAGACTCGTAAATCTATGCCTTAATTTTGCACATCCTGTCTTGCTTGAACACTCGTATGAGTGTGTTGATAAACTGATTCGGAATGAGTTACATGTCAAGTGTGTGTGTGAGAGCTATTACTTGTATTCTGTGCTTGCATATGATACCTAGAACTTGCCCTGTGTGTTTGCAAAGCGAAATAGAAGTTGTTTGGTTTTAGAGATGATTGGGGCATTTCTTTAAGTAGCCTGTATGTTTGTGAATCCACCTGTATATATTGCCATAGTTAACCCCTTTGAGCCTGAAGCCTGTTCTTTGATAACCCTATAATGACCTATATCCCTGTGTTTGAATAGTTTGACTGTTTGAACCTGTACCTCTTAGAAGCACTTGAATTACTAAAGAACATACAAAAGTCAAAGTATGGGGTGGTAAGGAAGTAGGAAAAAGGGGAATCAGGAAAGAAATACTTGAATGGTGCAATGGATTTGTAAAGGAAAAAAAAACAGTTGCACCTAAAGAAAAGTGGGAGTCACCTATGAACTAAAATGTGGAAGATCGAGTGGGCTGAGCATGGAAATTGAAATAAAAGGAAGTGTGTATTAAAAGTGCTTAGGGATGTTAGTCACTATATCCAAATATATCCTACCCGTCCTTTAGCCTACATTACAACCAAATAAAGACCTCTTGATCTTTGACTGAATAGCTTGATTATTAGAGTACTACACTAGGGGCAAACTTATGGTGTGTCTGTGTGGCATGTGAATGTTCTTTGCTGAGAGTGAGTGAATTCTTCCTATCTTTGGTTCCTTGTTGCTTGAATTTTATGTGTGTGGAACTTCTCTCAGACTTATGATGTGAGGGCATGTGACTCAGGAAGAAAAAGTGAGTTTTCACCTATGTTAGAGTAACTAGAGTGAGCATGAGTGTGTCATGGTGTTAGAGTCTTCATCTGAGGCGTGACTGTTGCACTGCTTAGGTTGTTCCTTCATAATGGCGGGTGTGGCATAAAAATTGGGTAATGCATCGAACGATTAGGCCTAGAAGTGTGGTTTAACTTGCTCGAGGACGAGCAAAGGTTTAAGTGTGGGGTGTTGATAATAGGTGAATTTAACTATAATTAGGCCCTAAATAACCACCTTCTTGTATAGTTTGGATGATAAAAGTGATAACAAAATGCTCTTATTAGTGTTTTTCATGCTTTGCAGGTTATATATGACCAGAGAAGGCTATGGAGTACTTTTGGGATCAAATATGGAGAAAAAGAGGCCGATCGTAAAATTCCGTCAAGTAAACCACGCGAAACAGCTCAAGTCAGAACCGAAAGAGGACTGTCGCGGTTCCACCGCGACCGCGATTCCACCGCGACCGCGGCAGAACCGCGATAGAAGAGGGCTGCAGACAAAGTGAGAATCAGAGAGCATGTTTGGCCGCGGTTTGACCGCGACCGAGGCAGCACCACGGCGGAGGCGGAGAACTTCAGGGACTAAAGTGCAAAACACGGGATTTTTAGCCCAAAACCCTATTTTAAACACTAGACTTCGCCCAAGAGAGGCATGTATTGATTTGGAGAGGATTTTGGCAAGGAAAAACAAGTGTGAGAGATCACCCAAAACATCTTTCTTCTTTTCTTTGATTTTTCTTGCAAGTTTTATGATGAATATTGTTTTAGTTTGTTTACCCATAGTTATGAGTAGCTAAATCCTTTGTCTAAGGTTTTGATGGAACCTATTGGGGGATGAACTTCTTGTTTATGTGAATACAAATTGCTAGTCTCAATCTTTATTTGTTCAACTTTGTGCATGTTGTAGTTAATTGACAGGATCCTCAATTAGCTGTGCCTATTTAGTGTGCATAACTCGGGAGAGAGTGCATATTTAGGTTATTGTTGAACAACACCACTCCTAAAGTATAAGAGGGATCTATAACTGCGGGTTTAAAGGCGGGATTAGGGATAACGAAGCCTTGAGTGCAATCTAAAGTGAACCGTGTTAATTGGAGCTAGCTAGTGTATCTCGGGAGAGTGCATTGAGTATATTACTGTGATTACTCGGGAGAGATTTACGGTAAGATGAGCGTTCATGATTGATAGAGAGGTGTTGGTCAATTTGTATGAAGCATAAACAGAAGGGATTCCATCAATAGGGGAAGTCATCACCTTAGCGTTTTCTCATTATTGTTCACAACCTTAGCATCCTTAGTTTACAACTGCTTATTTACTTGCAATTTTAGTTATTAAAGACACCATCAACTGTGATTCAAACGTTTGGAGAAATTGGTTCTCAAGAGTTTAGTGGGTCTAAAGATAGTGATTGATAGGTTAACTCTCTGTGGATTCGACTCTGGACAGAATACTCAGGTTATATTTGCAACGTCCGCAGGGTCCTTTTTATAAGGCATAGTTGGGCGTGATCAAGCAGCTTCATGCAACTTTGTTATACTTGAGAGAATATGAAATACTAAGCTACCATAGTCAGTATCACCTTGTTGTTCTTCTAGTTCAAGCTTTACTCCTCAATTGAATTCTTTTCTGGTTCCTGCCTCCCTTTTATGTTCACAGATTTTCTTCCTCATTACCTGATGTATTAGTGACATGTTCATTGTAATGTAGATGGCAGTAAAGTATGTTGTACATCAATCTGCCCAGCTAGACGATAGTTTGCAAATTTTATCAAGATTTTATTGTGTTAAACTAACTAGAACCAAATGGCAGAGTTTTCAGAAAGATGTATATGTGTATATTAGCAATTCCCTTTTGTATGTACTAATTTATGAGTTATGCATTGCGTGTTAACCACAACTATTGGCAATGCATACTCCTTCATTGACTGCTGGAAGATGATTGTTAATTTGGTCATTACAAAGTCAGAAAAACCGGAAATAGCCTCTCCGCCTTTTTAAAGCCAGGAGTAAGGTCTGCGTACAATCTACCCTCCCCAAACCCTACTTGTGGGACTACACTAGGTTTGTTGTTGTTGTTGTTGTTGTTTTTGTTGTTACAAAGTCAGAAAAACTACTCCCCTAGACAATCCTCAGATTGCCATATATATTGGCCTACGTTTGATTCTAAGGGGGAGCAAATAGGCTGATGTTCTGCAGTCATGTAATCATTCACTATAATCTCAATTTGCAATGATATTCAGATAGTTGACACACTACTTTGATTATATATCCAAGGATCTAACATTACTCGACGTTACTCTACCAAAACGATATATGTAACAATGATAAAGAAGTTCAATCTTTGAATTGCAAGAACTACATTGCTTAGTCGAAAACTGCAGATAGTCAGGTTTCTTTATAGTGGCTTAATGCTCAACCAGAAAAACAATGTGTCTCCTACATTGCAAGATAGAGTAACAAAAATCTCAAGGTTACAGGAATCAATTGCATCTGCACATCCCAATGGATCACCAGAAATAAAAATTCAAGATTGACCAAAGAACATTTATACTATCAGAAAATTTTCTGTCTAACAGAGATGGTATTAAACAGCTTACATTTCACTTTAATTTCTGCAAATCGGATACAAGATTTGAGGCTCCAAAAGCAGCAGAGCCACCAACAACAGAAAGTAGAGCAACCACAACCTGCAAACCAATTTGCCAAGGGTAATCTTCAGGGACCAGATACACACAAGCAGGACCAAGAACCAACAATCCCAAGCTCAAGCTAAATAGTACTGATGGGGTTCCAGGGTCAGTAGCTGCAGAAAGAATCCCAAACTCTTCAGCTTTGGAAAGAAGACCAAGTCTTTCAATTGTTGATAAAGAGAGTCCAGATTTCTCAGCAGCAGATAGTAAACCAGCTTTCTCTGCTTTAGTTAGAAGCCTCAACTGCTCCACCCTTGTCAATAACTTCACCGACGGTGTTGTTGTCTGCAATATATGTAATAACACAAATGTTAATTCATCGTACATGTATTATTTCCGTAAATGCTGAGATATAAGTAGGGGCGGAGTTAGGTGGGCGGAAGGGGTTCGTAAATGCTTGTATTATCCCAAATTACACTGTGTGTAAGGTTAATTTTCTTATATACATATATTAGATGTTGAATCTCATTGCTTCTTCGCGTGTTTATTATTTTTATTTTTTGAATCACTTTAGCGAAAATTCTACTTCCGCCACAGGATATAAGTAATCAAGAATCTAACCTTTTTAGAAGCGACAGTGCTGGTAGCGGATGGAGTTGGTTTTTGGGTAGCCATAGATCGGATGAGAAGTGGGGAATTTGAAGCAGAGAAACGTGTTATCGCAATGGCCTCCATTATCATCTTCTTCTTCTTTTCACTGGTCTAGTTATTTGGCTAAAGGAGTTCAAAGCTGAAGCATGTTTCGATCTTTGTGAGGCCAGGACCCGGAGAAGATAGCATGAAATGTTTGATTAAATTCTAGCCGGTTGGTTGTCCACCTGTCATCACCTCATTAGACACTATTTTTGTGCATCTTCGCTCTCCTCCACTCAGTCCTCTCAAGGGGAAATTTTAGAACATCAAATTTGCCTTTTAAAGAAAAATGGAAGTTAGTTTAAAATGAACTTTTTAATGGAAAAAATATAATCACTTATACGCATGTTTAACCCCTTTTTTCGTTGGAAAAAATAGAATCACTTATACGAAGAAAATTTAGCTAGCATTTGGCCATAGATCCCAAATTTATTTTGAAAAATCTAATTTGGGTGAAGTTTGGTTTGATGATGAAAATGCATTTGAACATAAGTTTTCAAAACATATTTCCTAACTTTATTTTGGAAAAACATGTATAAAATTCTCAAGTTTTGGAATTTTGGCCCAAAATCAGCAATTGGGGCGATTTTGAAATTTGGGGTTTGGGATTTAGGATTTTGCCAAAATACGGACAACAGTTATGGCCAAACATGAATTTTGAAATAAATCCCAAATTTATTTTGGCAAAACTCATGGCCAAACGGGGCCTTAAAAAGGTTCCAAGTGAAAGACTTGTACAAATAGGTCGGTAAAATACGATTTTCAGTTTCACATTTTATCTTCTGTTAATTATTTTGTTTGACTTTTTACTCGGACAAAATATGTTAAAATATTTTCTAATTATCTTTATTTTTTTTTAAAACATTTATCTTTATATGCTACTACATGAAAAATAAAGTTGGTTTCACTCTGAAAAATATTAGTAAGCAAATTAAAAAGATACTAGTGGAGTATATTTTGATGGAAAATCTATATCTATATATATATTAAAGCAAGAAAGTTTGCATTATAGTGGCTAGCTATTAAGAAGTCACGTGGCAAACTTAGAACAAAAAGATGATTAATTACTGAAATCAAAATGGAAAAAAATTAATTCAAATTTTGATTTACCTACTTCCCGAGGAAATTTAGTTAACGCAAGTAATCTTTAATCCAAATCCACGTCTTTTCTTAAGTAGTTCAAATCAAGTTTTA